CGTTGCTCAAGGCAGTGGTTGGCCTTAGGCGGAGGAAGGTGACGGGTCTCTCGTTACCGGCCCCCGCGGGATGAATACTGATCTTAAAAGTTATTAATCGTGAGGAGAGCAGCTCCCTCGGCTCCCTGGAGAAGGCTGTAGTGGTATGTGGTGGGTCCCCAGGGCATCGTCACCCCCCCTCGCTCCGCCTGAGATAGCCCCTGAGGAGCGAAGTTCCGTGGAGATAGCTCCTAGTAAAAACTAGCGAGGTTAGCTCGTTGCAAAAGAGGATGATGAGTTCAGTGGACACCCTGCAGGAGTAACTCCTGCACCTGCTTCGGAAAGATTGACGTTGCATCATTAGGTGGAAGGCTGCAGAGATCACCAGACACAACTTTTGGAGTTGATGAAAGGGGAGTTCAGTCTACAGAAAGAGTACTGTGCTGTGTTCCCCATAAACATCCCCCACTCACCCTAGTCTCAAGGTGTTGATGGGTACAGTGAGGAGAAGAATTGGGCTTGGTCATTGAGGGTACATACTTTAGCTGTCAGGGTCCAGAAGAAACCTACTTCCTCCTTCCTTCCTTCCTTCCAGTTTGTAAGGTGAATATTGGTCCTGCCTGCAAATCTTCAGGAGACAGCAGAAGACCTTAATCTGGAAGTCTAGAGGCAAAGACCTTTAATGCTCTAAATTACCCAGAGCTTCTTAAAACAGCGCACACAGAGCCTTTCTCAGCATCTGCTGTTAGGGCCAGACTCTGACTGATGGACAGTACTAGACAGGACAAACATCTGAAGGGCAATTGCATACATAGCCAGGTAAATAAGGAAACTGAGGCCTTAAACACAAGAGAGAGGCATGTTATGAGGTAATTTAACATCCTCTTAGGTGCTGTCATTTTCCTGAATCAAGTTATTAACATATAAATTATTGTGAATAAATCTGATTATTTTGCTTTGCTGGCTGTGTGTATCTCTAGGCTTTGCATGATATTCTACCTTAGCAAACCTTTCAAGTTGATTGTAGTAATGTTTTTCCTGTCAAAAATGGATTAGGAGTAGATTGGGAGTGCATTCTGAAGAAATACATTTTTCTATTATTAACCCTCAGAAATGTCCTGTATCTTTCTACCACAGTTTATCTAATCTAGGTCTATCAAAATTGATTCAAAGATGCTGCTGTGTGATGGCTAACAATATTAGGTATTAATGTGAGTTTAATTTCTCCTGTGTGGATGGAGTCCCTTAAAACCACTTCCACTGTGTGACAGATCAGTGTCTGCATGTCCAGTATAGATGTCTAAAGACAGCACGTGGAATTGGAATGGCTTTCTATCAGAGACAACCTATTCAGGAGAGTTATTTACAGTCTTAGATCGCCAAGACTTAAGTCAGTCATCTGTGCAGTCTGCCCAAAACTTAACTGCTGTGCTCATCTCAGCGTAACGCCTCATTGTCCCTCATTTGCCCTAAATGGATTTTGGTAGCTATTATAATAAAAGTCATAGATTGGTAAAGCCACTTTTATCATGTTCATGTTTAAAGTTTTCAGAATGGCTTCCTTGGTTGACATGCCCCTGAATTATGAAAAGATGTTTGCTCATCGATTCACATCGGATGATAAAGAGTACCAAGAATATCTGAAACGCCCCGCAGATCCCCCTCCTATAGTTGAAGAATGGAGAAACAGATCTGGTGGCAACCAGAGAAACAGAGATCGGTACTGATTTCTTTTTTTCTTTTTTTAATCTTGGTAGTTTCATAAATATATAGTTAAATGATCATTTATTTCAGAAGAAAGATAGGAATTTGTTCTGTTAATAGAAGTATCTTATTGTTAATTCATAGGCAACGATGTTTAAGAGAAATAGTCTTCTCTGAAAAGTAATGAGGTTTTACATTTTCTCTCTATTGATAGCCCAAGTTTTTGCATTGTGTGTAAAAGTATTAAGTAATTTGCTTTTTAGTGAGGAATGAGCTGGGACCACCAAACCCATTGCCCTGGAGTTTGTTACTGCTCAGCCAGGAACATTTTTCCAGAGTGGAAAGATGAGAGTTCTGCAAAACTAAGCAGCCTATCTTCTGTTGGATAATAACCAGCAGGAAAATGTGTGAAGGAACAGGCTAATAGTGTGACTACCTGTGGATAGCTCTCCAGAAAAACATTTCATTTGTAACCTAAGTATTTGCTGTACTTTGTTAAGTTAGCCTGTATTTGTTTTATCTAGTAGAAATGACTGTAAAATCCATTGTCCAATCTGTCTAGCAAGTGAAATGTTACCTACCTACTGCAAAATATTTTAAATTATTTCTTCAGGATATAATTGCAGCTTTCTACTGAATTCTGAACAGTAACATCTGATTTTTGTGTGACTGAAAAACAATAAGTGCAGCATATTATGTGTTTGGTAATACTAACATCAGCGTTTAATATAAAGTAGTTAAACTGCAGTCCAACCAACAACTCGGAAGACTTTTTAGCTAAATATCTAAATAGGATTTGTGCCTTATCTGAAAAAAAGAAGGACAACATTCTAACTTTTCCTCACCGTAGAAGCTTGTCATGAAGTTAAACACAGAATCAGTTTCTACAGATTAAAAAAAAAGGTGTTTGTTCTTAGGAGATATTCTTACAAAACTTTGCGGTACTTTGAACGAATGAACTCTTTAACATCTACACTCTGATCACAGAGTGAGCCTGATGTAAATGTTGTTTGTCTACACCACACCATTGAGATATCCAATGTGAGGCAGCTCAGATGTGGATAGGAATTGAGATACAGCTGAAAAGCCGAAATTCAGACTGAACAATGGCTAAATACTGCTGATAAGATACACTCATCTTGAGTGTGGGAATCTGCAAGAGACCATGAAGCAGCAGTAGTATGTATTTTAGGGAACATGCAAATTCCAGGACTCTGTGCTGTTAGGTAGCTAAATTGTACTTAAACCTGCTTTGCCACAGCTTTCAACCGTAAAGCTACAAGATTGAACCTGGCTTTGATACAGCTACGGACGTGTCTTCTGGCTGGTTTTTAGTCTGTTCAGGTCTGTTTGTGTCTCTAATCCAAGTTCCAGCAGTTCACCTAATGCCTGTGAATACTTTGTGTTAGGAGACAGGCTGTGCTTCCATCTCTTCACAAACAGTGTGTTGGGTAGTAGGAAGAAACTAAGGAATGATCTCAGATAACTATAGATACTTTTTCATCAGTTTGCCATAAAAACAGAGAAGTAATTGAGTGTGTCAACAGTTACTTGACAGTTTTAATGAAAACTGTAAAATTTAAGAGGTCATTATCATTAATCTTTTTTAAAACTCACAATTGATGTGAATCTTTGACATGTCTTTTCCTTGCAGGTTTCAAGATGGCAGATATTTTAGAGGGGACAGGTACAACTGGCAAGGTGACTATAGATCTAATCAGAGGCCAGAAAGAAGCTGGGGCAATAACTACCAGCAGCACAGACAAGGACAATCGTACTCCTCCCACTATGGACAATATGGCTACAACTCCTACAACCCAGGGCCTCGTTACCATCCCTACTGATGATACCTGTGGTTTGAAGTCCAGTAATGCTATGTAACAAATTCAGTTAGGCTTCAGTTTCCTTATTTTTCCCACAGTTTTATAGATAACTGAAGAATCAGTGTTACAGTCCATTGCTGCTTCTCTGTAGTGTGAATTGAAAAAGGGGAATATCTTTTATGAATAATAAAAGCGTGTTATACAGAGTTTGTTTAGAGTCTGTAGCTCTTAGATTAAATTTCTATCTCGTTCTTTTGTCTGAATACATACTAGTACACTTTTCGTCCATCACTGATACTTCCCTCTGTTACACATTAGAAAACACAACAGGTTGGGGAAAATAGCTGTGGTTTGTGTGCAGCGGTGGCACATTGCTTTAAGATAGTTCTTTTTGAAAGTGACATACTGTGTCTTTCTCTGGAGAGAATTTATTAGTTTGGCTTTTGATAGTGAGAAAAACTCAGTTTGGTTTGAATTTCAGATGCCTTAAAACTGAGAAGAGAGATACTATTACAGCAATATTTCATGGGGTCATCGTAGTGTCTGTTAACTCAACGGCTTCAACTTATTTGCATTATTCTTAAAATATGGTCTGAAAGTTGGAATAAAAATTAAGTGGTTTAAATATGTATCTTCTTACTGTAGTAGTTCAGTGATACACAAGTTTTACCTGAGAAGTGATATCAGACTTAGATTAATGGAAACAAAATTGGGATGTTCATAACAAATTTTGGAATTCCTATTTCAGTAAAGTTGTAAAATTTTGATTGTAATTGTAATTAGTTTGTATTAAATACTTCGTGCATGTTACAGAAGAAAGGAACCATAATCAGTGCTGTTCTGTACTTTTTTTGCATGAGAAAATAGCATAAGCAGTGCAGAGTGTTAATCAGCTGTTAGAATTTAAGTTCTGTGGGTTTAAGTATTCACACAATAAAAGTATGATTCACGTGCAAGGAGGTTTCTGAGTATTTCTGAGATCTGCTTTTGAAACATTCAGAATTGCAACACCGTCATCTAGGCTGAGCGCTGCCCAAGCAGCAGTTCTGACAGATGAGCATTAACACTGGGCAGCTGTTGGTTGAGGATAGAAGAAGGGCCTGCTCAGCTCCGATCAAGAGGATCAGACACATGGTGGTTAATTAGAAGTCTGGAGCCTTAATCCACCATCTTACATTCTACTATAATAGGGTCAAAGTTCTGTATTTCACCGTTTACACGACAAGCTGATCTGTATCAGGGGAGCAGTGCGTGTCTTTGTACTTGACATTTTCTTCATCTGTTGTACAGAAACACGGAGCCGTCCATGCTGACGTGTAAATGTCCTGACCTTCTGTGATAAGGAGCGCAAATTAGCGCGTCTTGATTTAAAAACAAAGAATAAATACAGAAGTCAAAAGCACCGTCTCCCAGCTCATAAGATGCTTTTAAAATTGAAAGAGTATGTTTAATGTCGATCTTAGAAACACACGCTGGGTGTAGCTTTTACATACCCTGTGATACACAAGCGTCTCCACCTACCTGCTAAGTATTTCTTTTTCTGCTTTTCATATAATATTATTAATTCTTGATACAGTTTTTAGTATCTTACCGCCTGAAGTATCTTCCTTGAATTCAGTTGTTTAACCTTAGAAATCTTTTAGCAAGAGGTTTGTTTTTCCTTAAGGAGTTCTGCTGGATGAAATGCACCGTTTTTAACCCTCATCAGGATGAGGGAGCCATTACACTGGGGGATATACGATCGTGCGAAGTTCTTACCTGTGCGCTGTGGAAAGCCCGCAAGTTGGTGTGGTGGGACTCCCATTTAACGCACGCACAGTGCCAGATACCCCACCCTCCCACCGCCAAGCAGGGAGTGCATCTCCTGCAAAGAGCCTGCACTGCCAGCTATGCCATGGAAGTCAGGCTGTGCCAGGTTGTTCTTCTTCCTTACCATCTGTAGCAGCGCCTCAGGTTGAAATGAAACCTGGCAGAAGGAACGGATTCTGTCTCACCCGTTGCCTTTCCTCAAGCCCAGTAACTATTTTATTTTTAGTGTCTTTCAGCCACTGAATAAAGAATCTACAACATTGTGACCAAGCTGTAGAAGCAGACAGATTAGGCTGCCCTAAGTGGAAGTTATGACTTGGAATCACACATTTCACCATCTCAGCTCTTATTCTGAGTTTCTCGACTGTGAGACCAGGAGAGACAGAGGCCAGTACAGTTTCCGTCTTTACATTCTTGACTCCATCTGCCTCACCATTAGCACTCTGAATTCAACTTTAAGGACCTGTATGAGTTACAAAACTTTTCCTTGGAACAATTATGGCAAGAATCTTAATGTTTTGCAGGGAATATATTTCTAAATAAATGCATGACTTACACTGGACAGAAAGGTAAATAGAATTCAAAATATATTACCTCCAGCCGTTTCCACTTAGATGAATTAGTATTTATGATAAAGTCCAGTTTAATGTTTCTGTCAAGCTAAATAAAACCAGTAAGTATCACCTGCAATTACGGTTTGTGCATTACAGTGCGTTACAGATGAAAAAAAACGAAGCTTGGCAACTTTAACATTTGCAACTTCAAACACCACACAAATTGTTTGCTTTAAATATGCTGGAGATTGCAGGGTAAACATGAAAATTCAGCATCTGGAATGTGACTTTAAGAGATATCTTCCATCTGGCATTTGTTCAGATATCATTATTATGAATAAAACGAGATAGATAAGTGTTACGTATTAAAAAATGACTGCCACATTAACAAGAGTCTGAACTCCCCAGAAGTTCTGAATATGGCTCTTGCAGGAGTTCCAAATCCGTTCCTGAACACATACAGCAATTTCGTATGGACTCTTAACTGACACTGAAGAATTACCATGCTAAATTACGGTATATAGGTGCTGTGGCAAACAATCAAGAAAACTCTGAAGCTTTTATACAATTTCTTAACTAGCATTTTAAAAAAATGCTAACAGCTTTCAAATCACAGCTACACCAACAGGTACTTGAAGGCAAAAGAAAGTGCGTAGTAAGGAAAAAAAAACACCTAATGTGATTTTTGAGATACAATTTTACAAGTGCTCACTGCTATTGAACCTCTATTTTATCCTAGCTCTGCAGCTGGGAATAGAAATGCGCAGACGTGCTTTGAAAGGTTAGTTAGAAGCTGAACTACTTTCAAGAGGCTTTCTAGCAGAAATTTCAGACAGGGAAGACAAGTGTCATTTCTGATATACATATAATCAACATTCAACTTCTAGAACAAAAAAGACATTTAACCTACAGTTTAAATATATTTGAATATATTGCAGCAGTTACATATTTGAATATGTTTAACCTTGTACTATTAATTTGCTAATAAATATTCTGCTTAACCAAGAAATATGTTCACATTTGCTTCTTGTATTTCTTACACTGAAATGTTGGAAGGAAAATTCTTTTTGTATCAAATTTAAGCTAAGGTTTTGCCTGCCACCACCCCTATTCCTTAGGGGAAAAAATTTAATCTCTGAGTTACACAACTCTGGGTGAATTTTGTTAGCTGCTCCAACTTGTGCAGTCACACCTCCTCTAACTTTGACAAGCAAGAGGGAATAGGAACATGGGGCAAGAAGGAAGGGAAAACAGGACTGCTCCTTACAGCAGCTACTGACCGACCGCCTTAGGAGCAATTTAACAAAACTGCACGTTCCTTGCTTTTCGTTTGCCAATCAGGAAAAATGACTATAATCTGTCCCCTTGTCCCTGAGTGTTAGAAAAGAGCTACGTAACCCCTCTTAAATTATGCACAGGGCTGATACTCTGATGACCAGAGGCTAAGCAAGATCATAGGGGGGATCAGCTTTCCCTGAAAGTACCTAGGAAATAGGCAGCCCGATTCCAGACGCATGGAGGTAAATCCTAGAGATCAAAATGGGATGGGGCTTTGAGCAACCTGGTCTAGTGGAAAGTGACCCTGCCCATGGCAGGGAGGGTGGGACAAGATGATCTCTAAGATCCCTTCCAACCCAAACCATTCCATGATTCTATGTTTTACTCTAATAAACACACAACAGGATAAATCATATCATCATCCCCAATGGTTACCTTTTGTGCTATTTGTGACTAGTGTGAATACAAATGAATGTTGTCTTTTTCCTAACACAGAGATGCTTTTTTTTCAAGTAATACTTCAGCACCTGGATGACTTCTTCCCACAGGTATGGGCTGCCTTCTTTTTTTCTTTTCTTTGCATATTGTGTAATTCAAACTTTGCTTCACTAATAAAAGATATGTCAAATAACAAGTTTGAAAGCGACTCCTGCTCATTGTTTGAAGAAAAAAACTTACCTATTCAAAAGAGGAGTTAAAAGTTAAGAAAACAAGTTAGTCATTTGTTATAGATCTATAAAAATAACCAAGGCCCAACCTTATCCATGAAAAAAACAACCTTCAAGGACTCAAGCAGAATCTTCAAACTGAAACATGTTGCATGTCAAAAGGATGATTAAGACACTAAGCTTTTTCAAAGCTCTTGTTCAGTGTGAGGAAAGACAATTTGGTATTCATAAACCCAAATAAATTACATACTGAAGATTAGAATTAGTACTGTTGAGATAAAGGTTAAAAAAGCAAGCATATTGTAAGAAGTTTCACACAGCTTTTGGCCACCATGTTCCAAGGTCAGCATGATCAGAACTGATCAGAAAGCGGATGCTCTTTGTCCAAAGTCATGTCTGAAGTTTGTTTCTGAAGAAATGCTTGAAATGATACATTCTATTGAAAATATTCTCAAGAAAAATAAAGTACAGTAATAATTGCCAAGTGCAACCAGTCCCAAATAATTACATACTCTTTTTACAAAATAAAATTATTTTTCCGTTTAGGTCAGTTTAGTGCAAGAGCTCTGTGTGGACACACGTTCTTTTCAGCTAAAGCTCATGTTACTCATTTATAAATCACACACTTGCAACGCCCACTGTGAGATGAGCTGCTGGAGCATCACGCTTGGGGTACACACACCCTCTAAACCCCAGGTACATGCTGTAAGAACATAAAGGAGCTTTACCTTAAATTGCCAACATGGGCAAATCCTATTTCTCAACCCTGCAGCTCAGAGGTTACCTCCATCAGCGGAATTACATTTTCTGTTGTTCTAAGATAAGATGGGAATGGGAGGGTACGTTGTACAGCCCAGGCAATGATGGGAGGGAGCACACCTGAGCTAAAGGAACAACTGTTTCATGGCCATTTCCTTGTGTATCCTGAACCCTGTAGGGGAAAACAAGTTTTTATTGGTTATCAAGTGACTTCACTGCCATGCCACAGCCTGGGGGAGGGGGGACAGGAAGGAATTCCTTCCTCCTCTGCAGACTGCAGGGACCTCCTCAGCATAAAACAAGCCATCAGAAGATGGACCTAGGGATCTGGGAGCAGTTAAGCAGCCGGCTCATTACCCTGACAGAGTTTAAGTCCTTAAGTGAGGTGGGGAGATCCAAGGGATGATAAACAAATAGCTATTGACCACATGTCCTGCAGTCTGGGTAAATCC